TCTTGCTGTCTCTTGTGACGCTGGATTTGTATGGCGGGGATGATAACTGTCCGGTGCCCTTTCCATGCCACTCCTGAAGCCGTTCTTGTCTACGTTCCACCGGCTTTAATTCATCGTAGTGTCGCACATATCGCTGCCGAAAGTTGTCCTCCTTCTTAATCCGGTACGTGTTCCCCTGCCTGCAGCTAATGATAATAAACGGTCCCTCCCAGCGCGGCTGGAGCTTTCCCGGCATTCCTGTACGTTTTGGTACCTTCATGAAAACTCTATCCCCTTCACGATATTTCACCCCAACGTTCTTGAGTCTGCTTTTTTCAACGCGATCCTTCTTCTTGATCTCCTCTCTCATGATCACGTGCTTGTGCGCTTCTTGCAAATTGCGCTCCAGTCGTTTTACCCACTCCTGCTCTGATTTGGTAACTTTAGCACCCTCCAGCCGGGCCATCTCGGGGGTTCTCGGATGACGTCCGTATTGCAAATAAAATGGCGAATATCCTGTTGTGTGATGAGGTGCCGTCATGTACTGAAAGAAAACGAACCAACCCAATGCATGTATCCCAGCTCTCTCTATATTCCTGTGCATTTCTGCGCAACATAGAACCAATTGTCTTGTTCGCCCGCTCAACAGCTCCATTCGATTGAGGGTGGAACGCGCTCACTCTTTTTTTGTCGATGCCCATAGCATTGGTTAATGCCAGCAGATATTGATTGTCGAATTCCAGTCCTCTGTCGGTGAGAATAGAATCCGGTAACCCGTGTCTATAAATCACTTCGGTGAGGGCCCTGGCCACAGTCTCCGCCGATTTGTCAGGAATCGCCGCGATCTCAACACCCTTGGAAAATAAATCCAACACTACGATGGTGTAACGATTACCCCTCGTCGTTGGCGCACGGCCAAACGGACCCATCAGGTCCACGGCCACATGCTGCCACGGAGCCGTTGGCTGCGTGGTCATTTCCAGTGGCGCCTTGAGGCGTCGCTGAGGGTCATTGGACCGTGCACAAATCACACAGCTGCGACAGTAGTTTTTGATATCCTGGTGCATCCCCATCCATAAATATCCGCTCTCTCGCACCAAAGTAGTCGTTCTCTCGGCGCCAAAATGACCAGCTTTGTCGTGCTTTAGTTGAAGCACCCTCACAATCATTTCATCTGGAACCAAAATATACCTCTGAGCTCCCTTCTTCCCAATCAACAGACCACTTTGAACATCAATGGCCGGCTCAACACCCATGTGCAGCCATTTGCTAGATGCCCGTCCGTGCCGCCTGTGCAGAATGAGTTCGTCTCTCAGGGCCCGCATAGACTTGTTATTCTGTTGAGCCCGGAGAAACTCTTCGTTCTCGTCCTCTCTCCGGTCTGGCTGAGAGATTTCAGCCACCTGAGGCGGCATCACACCGCCACCCACGCCTTCACTCCTGCGGGAGAGTGCGTCAGCCGGACAATTATCAGCGCCTTTCCGAAAGTGAACCGTGAATTGGAATTCCTCCAGCTCCTCTATCCATCTGGCATATCGACCCCTCGGATCCTTTGTGTTCTTGAGCCACTGAAGACCGCAATGGTCCGTGAACCACTGGAACGGCTTACCAAGAAGGTAAGTACGGAACTTCCTGACAGCGAATATCAGGGCAAACATTTCCTTGTCACGAATATGCCAATTGCGTTCAGCGGCAAAAAATGTCTTAGAGGCAAAACACACCGGTCTGTCCTGCCCACTTTCCGTACGTTGCGACAGGACACATCCGAGTCCCGTATCCGAGGCATCTGTGCTTATTTCGAATTCTCTGGTCATGTCTGGAAGCTGTAGCGTAGTGGCCTGACAGAGGGCATCCTTTAGTCTCACGAATGCCTGCTCTCGGTCTACATTCCAGGAGAAACGCGCCTTACCCGAGATCTCGTGTAGTGGCGCCGCCAGCTGTTGAAGATTCGGCACGAAGTCGCTGTAATAGTTGCAGAGGCCGGTGAACTGCCGGACTTGTTTCGTTGTCTCCGGTCGGGGCCAGTTCCGGATCACCTCCACCCTCTCCGGGTCAGGTTCAAGACCTTCCGTTGAGACCACGTGACCAAGAAAACGAATGCGACGACGACAGGGAACCACCTTGGAGCTCTTCACCGTCAAACCTGCCTGTCTCAGTCTTTGTAAGACAGCCTGTAACAGTGACAAATGCTCGACTATCGTGGTGCCTCCCACAATAATATCGTCCAAGTACGCGGTCACGCCGTGTCCGAGCAGACCGCGCAACACCTCGGTCATCAGACGTGAGAAACAGCCCGGAGCTCCCTTGGCCCCAAATGGCATAACCAGAAACTCCCACTTGTTATCCTCGGTCAGAAACGCCGTCTTTTTCCGGTCTTCCGGCGCTATTGGAACTTGCCAATAGGCCGAATTCAGGTCCAATGTTGTGAAAATCCGTGAACCAGCCAAACTGTCAAGACATTCCTTCACTGATGGGAGGTACGCTACTTCATCTACTGTTTGTCGGTTCAGCTCTCGAAAATCTACCGCAAAACGATATGACCCGTCCGACTTTTTTACCATCAAAATTGGGGCAGACCATGGCGACGTCGATTTCTGGATTATTTCTCTTTCTTCCATGTTCATAATCTGCCTCCGAACTTCGGGTCTCAAATGATAGGGGGTACGGCGTGCTCGGACTGCCACCGGGGGGCGATTCCCAGTGTTGATCGAGAACTGAACAATGTTTGTTCGACCCAATTCGTCGTCTGTGTTTGCGAAAACATCTCGGTAACTGTTTAACAGCCTCCTGAGCGTTCCCCGGTCTCGATCGCCTAGTTCTGCGCCCGACAGATCAACCTGAACCGGGCCGTTTCTGTCTGGTTTCGTTCCGTCAGCCACTGCCGCCACTTGCCCCTCGCTGACTTCTCCCAAGACAGAGTTCGCATACAACCTCACTGGCTCTGCTCCAGCATTCTTCACAAGGACCCGAATCCTGTTATCGACATCCGACCGTGCTATACAGGGGCAGAGGGCGACACCAAGCCGCACCGCCTTCGATGGATCGGGGTCAAAGATGACATCACGTGCCGACGCCCCGAAATCAAACGCCATGACGTCGACCAGTCGCTCTGAGAAAGGATCCAGGGTATAATCTGATGCCAAACAGACGGAAACCGGCTGCTGCGGTGTACCTTCACGCCTCGCCTCCAACTGGATGCAATGGCTACCGATATGTAGAGACCGCTTCGAAAAATCCACGCTGAATGTCTTGAACTTCCTGAGCACATCCGTGCCCAGGATTGCCGGTGCCGAGAGGTCCTTGACAACCAGAATGCGAGCGTTGCTGACCGCGGCTGGTCCGATCAGGAGGTCCGCTGAAATCTGGCCGACACACTGCAGCGGTATCCCGTTAGCTCCGATTGGATTCTGCTCAGCTGTGGAAAGAGGAACGGAGCTGACTCCCGGTAGAGCCGCCGACACGCACGAGACCACCGCGCCCGTGTCCACCAACCACGTACACGGCAGCTTTCCAATGCGACCTCTCACATGCAGAGAACAAGCCGAGGGCCCTTCAGCTGACCGCACCGGTAGAGCAGTACCAGTTCTGAGGCATTTTCCTTGAGAGCTGGTTACCGCCCGCCCCTCGGCAGTAACCCACTTCAGTTTAAATTTAACGGACAATCGTACTGAGTGTGGCCGAACTCATTGCATCTCCAACAGGTGACCGGCGCTGGACGGCCTCTACCACGACCTACCGGTGCCCTGAAACATTCCCTCTGCATGTGTCCCGGTGAACCGCAAGTCCAACATGTTCGACGTGATCCCCTCTCCTCTCCGCCAGTGGCCCCCGGCCGCTGGCCACCGGTCCGTCCACCTCGCACGCTCCTGCACTCCCCCTGGACGTGCCCCTGCGCACCGCAGGTCCAGCACTGGACATTGGCCGAGCCGCGCGATGACGTCATGGCGCCTCGGGCTGCGCCGGCCGCCGGTCCTCCACGGGTCGGCCGAGCCCGCGGGCCGCCGGACTGGATCGCCTGTACCATACGCGATAATTCAGCGACCTCTCCCCGCAGCTGGGCTACCTCACCACCCTCCTCTGCTCCTAGCTCAGCGACCTGTTGTACCGGCGCATGTGACCCCGAGGACGCCAGAGCCTCATCTACGCGTCGAGCATGCTCCGGCAACTTATCAGCAGTGACGTCGGGAAACATCAGGCGCAACTGGGACGACACATTTGGATTGATCCCATCCAAAAAACGGCTTTTGAGCAGCGTCTTGGCTACCGGGGCGTCAGTATCAGTGCCTGGAAACGCACCACGGAACAGAGAGCATAAAACAGACAGGAACATACCGTATGTCTCCTCGGGCTTCTTCCGCCGTTTCTCGAAACTCTCCTGGTACCACCTGGTTGAGTTGCCGAACTCCCGCCTAAGGGCTGCCTTCAGACTTGCGACGTCCTTCTTGTCATCTTCCGAAAGAGAATCCATCACACTGATTCTCGATCCAAGGCCCAGTAGGGCCTTCCCTACCGCCTTACTTTCGTCTCCAACGGTGAGACGACACGCATCCACGCGTCGGAGAAAATCGTCCAGATCTTCCCCGTCCCCCCACACCAATCGATTGTCTCGCTCCATCACTGCACTTATCCCACCGCTGCCACCAGTGTGATCGCGCGCTCTCACTCACCTCAAACCGTAGACTGACTCTCCGCCGCTCCGTCGCCCAGGTCCCGGTCACGGCGGCAGGCGCGCGCAGAGGCGCGCCCAGGCACGCACACGCGGGGTGCCCCAACTTATGCACATCACAGTCGTGTCAGTTCAGATCAGGTCAACCGTCAAATGCTCCACCGCTTTTTTTAGTTAATTTGTATGCAGCTCACACATCTCTGCACGTTTCGAATTACTGACAGTTTAAAAAATATGTACAAGCAATGGGCACTGACTTACAGAAAAAAACATTATTTTTAATTGTCGGACAACGTCCGTCGCCTATTAATTGCTCGACAGCCAAGTTTCAAGAAGCTAATTACAGAAACTCCCTTCGCAGTTGTTAGAGGCAAGGGGGCACTGCAAAACGATGGCATCGTTTTCTCATGATAATTCCATTACGTGCAAGTGTTCATCGGCGCTCGGGGTCTGCTATATAAGTGAGAAGATTGCTCACTTCCCCACTTCGGCAGTGGAGAACCTACAACAATGCACTTCCTGCAGTTGCTCGCCGGCTTGCTGGTGCTTCACCAGATCAGTGCCTCAGCATTGAGGCTGACTGGGATGAAGACATCGGCCCAAATGAAGGGCGCCCCAGCTGACATGAAAATGAAGACTGATATGAAAATGAAGTCTGATGTTGACATGAAAATGAAGTCTGACGTCGATATGAAGATGAAAATGAAGAGTGCACCTGCCGACATGAAAATGAAGATGAAGAGTGCCCCAGCTGACATGAAAATGAAGGCCGATGCCGATATGAAGATGAAAATGACGAATGCCCCAGCTGACATGAAAATGAAGTCTGACGCTGACATGAAAATGAAGGCCGATGCCGATATGAAGATGAAAATGAAGAGTGCCCCAGCTGACATGAAAATGAAGTCTGACGCTGATATGAAAATGAAGGCCGATGCCGATATGAAGATGAAGATGAAGAGTGTCCCAGCTGACATGAAAATGAAGATAAAGAGTGCCCCAGCTGACATGAAAATGAAGTCCGACGCTGACATGAAAATGAAGGCCGATGCCAATATGAAGATGAAAATGAAGAGTGTCCCAGCTGACATGAAAATGAAGTCCGACGCTCACATGAAAATGAAGGCCGATGCCGATATGAAGATGAAAATGAAGAGTGTCCCAGCTGACATAAAAATGAAGATGAAGAGTGCTCCAGCTGACATGAAAATGAAGATGAAGAGTGCCCCAGCTGACATGAAAATGAAGATGAAGAGTGCCTTAGCTGACATGAAAATGAAGGCCGATGCCGATATGAAGATGAAAATGAAGAGTGCCCCAGCTGACATGAAAATGAAGTCTGACGCTAACATGAAAATGAAGGCCGATGCCGATATGAAGATGAAGATGAAGAGTGTCCCAGCTGACATGAAAATGAAGATGAAGAGTGCCCTAGCTGACATGAAAATGAAGGCCGATGCCGATATGAAGATGAAAATGAAGAGTGCCCCAGCTGACATGAAAATGAAGTCTGACGCTGATATGAAAATGAAGGCCGATGCCGATATGAAGATGAAGATGAAGAGTGTCCCAGCTGACATGAAAATGAAGATAAAGAGTGCCCCAGCTGACATGAAAATGAAGTCCGACGCTGACATGAAAATGAAGGCCGATGCCGATATGAAGATGAAAATGAAGAGTGTCCCAGCTGACATGAAAATGAAGTCCGACGCTCACATGAAAATGAAGGCCGATGCCGATATGAAGATGAAAATGAAGAGTGTCCCAGCTGACATAAAAATGAAGATGAAGAGTGCTCCAGCTGACATGAAAATGAAGATGAAGAGTGCCCCAGCTGACATAACAATGAAGGCCGATGCCGATATGAAGATGAAAACGAAGAGTGCACCTGCCGACATGAAAACGAAAATGAAGAGTGCTCCAGCTGACATGAAAATGAAGGCCGACGCCGATATGAAGATGAAGTCCGATGCTGATATGAAGATGAAGATGAAAATGAAAGAATCACCAGCTGAGATGAAAATGTATGGCGCAGGAGCTGCATAAACGATTGGAATTTGGAATGCAACCAGACTTATAAACGGATACCTAGTTGATTTCGGTTTTGTAACTGCTTTTGGGTGCTCGGTCTTTGGTAATGGATAGCAGTCCAGTGATATCTCGTTTGTTAAAGATGGCTGTATCTGAGTGTAAATAGGGCGTCATCGGTTATGCTGCCTATTTTTTCTGACCCGTCAATGTTATCTGGCTGTACCTAATTGAGCCATGTCACTTTGTGGATTCAATCTTATGGGCTGTCTTCAATTCTTGATGCTTATCATTGCTAATAAATTTGTCATAGTGTGATATTTTTATTTGCCCAGCTGCGGATGTTGGGGAAATATGAACATCCTTATCCATTGCCGCTGATTTTTGTTGGATGTCAAAATTTGTTCTTGTTGTTAACCCGCGCCCTGGTTGGGTCTGTTTATAACGCGACCTGGGCCTCGTTTCATAAAGCGAGTCCGTAACTTACGCCGGTTTTTGGTCTTGTATTGCAAGTGCATGTGAGGCGATTACGATAGTTTGAATCATTCTGTTCTTGCAAGCAAGAACAGAAGGGAGAAGGGGAAATAAATTTATCGCTTTACATGCGCTTGCAATACAAGCCCAAAAACCGGCGTAAGTTACGGACTCGCTTTACGAAACGAGGCCCTGTTTGGGGGGTGGCTATTTTTTGCCCCCCCCCCCCTCGTATCTCCGAAACTACTGAACGGATCCGCAAAATTCAAAAGTTGTTCGAAAGCGCTGTCAAATTTGTTAACCCTCGCACGACCAGGCCATTTCTCATAACACGAACAACCAGGGGGGGGGGGGTTGTTACGACCCCCCCCCCTGGCGTTTCGAAACGGAAGGTCGTAGAGCTTAGCGGAAAAAACCAACGGATTGCTCTCAACGAGATCTCGCGATTGGTGGTATATTTTTTGGTCCTAGGTCAACATTTGACCTACTTATGACCGGTCAAAGGTCAAATTTTCCGAAAAAATCAAACTTTTTCAACTTTGCGCAACGATTGCGGCACAACGGTGAGAGATATTAACTTCAAACCTTCAACAACGTATTCCCCACTCAATTTTGCATCATATATGGTGTTTTTGGTGTATTTACCCTATAAAAGTAAGAGGCCTATTGCTGATGAGTGATATGGTGTCACATCACCCTCCGGTGTTTGTCCCGATTCGTCGGCTGTTGACCACTGCTCCGCTATAAATACTGTAGGTAACGACTCAGAAAAGATATGTGGATATCCACTGCAATGTGGATAGCATCAGCAGAAAACCTCGGGACTCGGTACATACTTCGTGAAAATCCGGCCGGAGGCTGTACCTCTTATGACGTCATAACTCCGTGACCTGACCTGACCCGGTCAATTTTCTTGCACCACACGATAGCCAATGCTTGCCCCAACATGCATGGGAAGTTTCATCATGATCCATCAAACAATGTGGGTATCACCGGCAGAAAACCTAGGGATTCGGCGCACACGTTTGGTAACTGTCGGCCGGAGTCTGTACCTCTTATGACGTCATAACTCCGTGACCTGACATGACCCGATCAATTTTTTTTCGGCAAAAGATGCGCAAAGGTTGCCCCAGAGGGTATTGAAAATTTCAGCCCGCTACGACAAGCCGTTTAGCGTGCACTTCGAAAAAACCTCAGGGGGGGGGGGTTGATACAACCCCCCCTAGGCGTTCTAGGGTTAAAGGAAATCCAATTTCAATGACCTCGGGGTCACCGATGACGTCACAGATCAGGTCATGAAAAAATGTTTTGCCGGTCATGGGTCTTCTAGGGAATGCGCTATAACATCGAATAAAACGCATTTTATCGAAAAACAGTGATAGTGCGTCAGTTGCCTAGTAAATGTGTTGCTATCAGAGGTCACTGATAGTACCAGGTCAGTTGACAGTTTAGGTCACCAAGGGTCAGCACTAGAGATGTCAATCGGATACCAACTTTTTGGTATACCGATACCAAACCGATACCAACTTGGCATTTGGTATTTTAAGGCGAATGCATTTGGTGTTTTGTCGGTATTATGAATCCTCACTAATGTAAAAGAGGCTGAGAATTTGGAAAAGTTGGTATTTTCCTCATATTCCCAAGTCGGCTCGGTTTCGGTATTTTTCCTTTGGTATTGTTGGCATTTGGTTTGGTATCGGTATCACGATTTTCCATAATTGACATCACTAGTCAGCACATGAACCCAATTTTAACCCGCGCCCCGTAGGGGGGGGGGCCGAAACGGCCCCCCCTGTCCTTTTCGGTCGATATCTCCTAAACGGCTGGAGATATCGCCACCAAACTTTCAGGACCCCTCCGGGCATCAATTTTACACATTGTGACCAAAACTTTTTCCAGCGGCTATGATAGGTTGGCCACAAATGACGTCAGAGTGACGTCATGTTCTGTCATTTTCGACCGAAAAAAGACCTTCGCGAGAAGACCTGTCAGGACTACAGCTTTGAAGATACAGAAAAATGATCAAGACATAAAAGGTGTAGAATTGACAGGGCTACAAAACTGCTATCTCGAATTTTTGAAATTTTTGAGTTTTGACCCCCAAAAATCAAAAAAGCATTTTTTTGGATATATTCGCCGAAAAATCCAAAAAGTTTTTTGAGTTTCGAAAAAACCGGAATATATGTGATAGTGCCTACCGTCTTCTATCTACATACCAAATTTCAGATCGATACCTCGTTTTTTGGCCAAGTTATAGCGAAAAAACTGTTCAAAAATGATGACGTCAAATTTTCAAACTCAATTTTTGGCAATTCTAGAACTCGTAGAGCAAAACGAAGACCACCATTAGACTCACCGTGACGAGCTGCATCGAATCGATACCCATTTTATGCAAAAATATCAACTTTGAAATTTGACCTAATTTGACCTGACCTTGACCTGACCTTCACAAAAACGTGACCTAGGCTGGCCCCAAAGGCTGCCTAACCCACATAATCGCATTTGTCATGTAAAATGGACCATAAAACATGTATCACACGACACATTCATATTGTGACCCCCGGTGACCTGACCTCGCTGTGACCTGACCTGGTATCAGTGACCTCAGATAGCAAAGTATGTGTTTGACGAACAATGTACCATCGATGGTTTTCAATAAATTACCAATTTACTCGCTTTCACAGCACATTTCTTGAATTGCCTGTGAACGGTGAAAATCTGACCTTTGACCTGACCTGTGACGTCATCGGTTTGACCTAGGTCAATGAAATTTGGTCACAAGGTAGTTCCCGGGTGGGGCTATCGAATGCCGTTTGAATTTTGAAAATCGGCCGGTAACTTTCCGAGATCTTAGGGGGGGGACCGATACGGCCCCCCCCCCCTACGGGTGGTAGGGTCCGCCGGTAGCCCTACGGGGCGCGGGTTAATAGGGCTGTGTAACGTGACGCCAAACTCTCAGTTCCTTCGGCTACATCCATTTGACACCTTGTGTCAAAATATGAACTTCGTAGCTACCATAGGTCGGCCGGAAATGACGTCAGAGTGACGTCATGTTCGGCCGATTTCGACGCAAAACATTGAACTGCACGGCAATCGCTCCCAAGAGCTCATTTATTCATCTAGATTCGATTTCTTGCATGAGAGGACTCAGAATAGACTGCGCTATCAAACTGCTATCTCAGATTTTCAAAATTATGAACATTGTGAAAATTATTTGTATTGAAATTCAAACTCATATTTTTATGTTCTTTTTTCAAAAAGCTTCTGACCTAAAAAAAACGTAATATATGTGATAGAACACATGCTTATGACTTACCATAGCAAATTTTAGCCAGATATCTTAAAAAATGGCCAAGTTATACGCATTATAGCACAAAATTCACAATCATTCAAATCATTTTTTAGTACGTATTTGACATCTTATACCAATATAAATAGCACCATCGTGTTCCTGAGTCCAAAATGCATCCGTTAGACACCCTTTTTATTGAAAAAAAAATTAATTTTAAAATTTGATCATTTTCATCTGAAAGTGGCCTAAGCTAAATTCAACTCAAAATGACCCCGAATGACATAAACGACATCGAGCTCGAAATCTATGGCCTAAATTGACCATAAAACATGTGTCACGTGACCGATGCATGATATAAGATTTTCATGACCTGTGATGACCTGACCCTGACCTGAAAATCAAAGTAAAAGTTTGTTACCCTCAGGGTATCTTAACCCGCGCCCCAGTGTCAGTCTGAATTTTCCACGACCTGGTGTGTGTGTGTGTGGGGGGGGGGGGTGTTTGAACACCCCCCTTCTAACTCGGCTCCTAGGCCACGTAGCGACACGCGGTAAGCGGCAATCGAAAGAACGTCAAAAATAAGGACGAAAACACTCAGTCATTTTTTGGGTCAGGTCAAAGGTCAGGTCACCAGAGGTCACCAAAGGTAAAATGTTGACTATTTCAACATTTTGGAAACTGCCAACGGCTATCTCGGGAACCGATAGAGCTACAGCGCCGCGGAAAAGCGCATTCGATAGCCCTTTTACAGACCTTTCTGAGTAAGATTTGACCTCAGGTCAACGGTTTAGCCTCCAGAGGGCAAAAACTCCAAAAATAACCGTTTTTACGAAAATCGGTTTTTCGGCGATAACTTTTGACTCAAAAGAGCCATGACATTACTTTTGCCAGCATCGTGTTCCTCTCGTCGAGACGCGTCGAATGATTTATAAGTTGACCTTGAAAGGTCAACTTGAAAATTTGACCTCAGGTCAAGGTCATGACCTGACCGGAAAAGGTCATGTTGCATATCCGTCGATCCGCAACGTCGAGCCGAACACATCTAAGGTGTATTCAGCGCTCTAGCACGCCTCTATCAGAAGTTATGAGCGAAAAACTGTTAGCTTCTGTCCGTGACCTGAGATGACCTCGGGGACATAACGAGGGGTCACAGTTGCCATTTTCCGGTTCAGTGTGTCAATTTTACCTACATCTCGATGTTTGAGAGTGTCTAGAATAGCGTTCGTGCTAAACAGACGCTTTTCAATTTTCTCCCATTGACTTATAATGGAGAGGCCGCAAAATTGACCTGACCTTAGGTCACCGATATCAAAATTCCGAGATATAAATTTTATAGGTACTGTTACCCTCA